AAAACCCAAACCCTGCACTCCTAGGCTCTTGGCATTGTAAACTTGCAATCCCCCACCAGCAGCAGCAGACCGAATCTGTTCTCTCTTTCAGTTCCTCTCTCTTCGTCAGATTATATTTTGACAAGTGCCTGCTGGTTCTCAAACTACTTTTCCAATTCACATGCTGTCAGAATCTTCCTGGGTTCAAGGTGAAGGCTCAATCAGAGAGAGCTGATGCATGGAATTGGGACCATTGTTCTTAATAAATACTGCACTTTAAATAAAGACAGCAACATGCAAAGCTATAGAAAATGCTCTTTCTACAAACTCGGGCAGAAGTTACAACCTGCCCTTCCTTTGCTCTAAAGAGAGGGAAGCCTCCCTGCATACGGACTGAGTTCTAGGCTCTAATCTTCCTCTTCCTGACATTTAGAGTAACCTTTGGCAAATGATTCAACCTTTCCTTGTTTCAGGTGAAGAGGAAGTTCAGAAACAACACTGTGAATTCACCCAAGGTGATGCTAGGGGACATAGATAATGAGGGCGCCAAAGTGCTAGGTCGTGCTCTGTGGACACTTTATCAAAACCTTCTCTGGGCTTTCACAGTTGTCTCTGGAATTAGTCCTGTGGGACTCTGGCTGTCTGGATCTCTTCTCACTTCTAATTCAGTCCCCTTTTCTTCTAACTATTATAGTGTACGGTTTGAAGTCTTGTCATTTTAAAACCTCACACATCCACTTCATCATCTGATTTTCCTCTCCAGGCCGTTTCCAGGAGAATGTGGCTCATTCTCCCCGTTGAGAGAACAAATCGGTTATTCATTACACCTTATCAATGAGCTAGTCCTACACAGCAAGGAACTATAGTGAAATCAGAAACTTGGAAACACTGGCAACTGCTTTGTCCTGGGTTTTCCTCTGGGATATAACAAAGTGCCACAGGACATTCATCCAGGCGCCGAGATAAATTCTGAAGACATTGAAGGAATTTGCTGAATCTCTTCAGAATTAACCCAGAGGAGCTGACCTCTCCTCTCCTGAGACTTACTTGGTTTAAAGATTCATGGGGAAGAATTTACAGTGTTTAGTTTCACATTTAAATTTAATTTCCTATATCCGGGTTTTGGGGTAACATGCAATTACTTTCTTTTTTCCAAGTTTCCGCTTTCACCCTTTCTAACTTCTTAAACCAAATCCAAAACTCATTTATCTTCTTGCTGTTTTAATATTTCAGTTTCTCTTTGTTTTTACTCCAGTTGTCATGTTTATCTTGTATTTCCTGAACTCCAGTGCCACACATCTCCCCAGGGATGGAGTCATTTTTTAAGGGTGAGAGAGGAGGAAATGGGCCCATGTGACACTTCGCTGACTTTTTTTTACCCAGATGTGAGGAATGCAATTAGATTTTGTGCTTTGGGGCGCTAACGTGGAGCTCTTTTCCTTTACAACAAAATTACAATTTGTAGATCCATGAGGATGTGTCAGCTAGTCAAGATTGGGGAACAGGAGGGATGTTCAGTGGAAACTACTTGAGAATCCTCCAGACAGAGGGCATGGGGCTACAGTTCTGGTTTGCTCACTGAATGTGGAATTATGGGGTACTTGCTGAAGTTTGGCATTCAGGACTAAAGAGATTTACCTGGGGTCTGCATCCTGTTGGCCAGAATTACTGCTGCTATAGCTGCTCATTTGTGTTACTTTTTTGCTTGTAAAATTCGAAACGTAGAAGGCAGTGAATCCGTCTGAATTCTTTTTTCAGATGACTGATCCTGAGGGCAGGTTGAAGGTCCTGCAGAGCTTCTGTTCTGGACTGTGACTGTCTCAGTGAAGGTCGCCTTTCTTCAGCTCGCTGACAGTTGGGCAGAGCTCTGTGATGCTAGGCCACATAAATAAGATCTGGAGGTGAAAGGGATTTGGTCCCTAAAGCCCTCTGCTCTAGTTTCCACAGAAACAAGCCAGGGGTGATACCCACCACAGGGGCTCTTAAAGCCACAGATACTTCATTCTGAGAATCCCATCATGTTACAAATACCATTCAGCAATAGTTTTTTGTTTTTGTTTTTTTAAGATTTTATTTATTTATTTGAGAGAGAATGAGAGAGAGAGAGCACAAGAGGGGGGAGGGTCAGAGGGAGAAGCAGACTCCCTGCTGAGCAGGGAGCCCGATGCAGGACTCCGTCCCAGGACTCCAGGATCATGACCTGAGCCGAAGGCAGTCACCCAACCAACTGAGCCACCCAGGTGCCCCTCTGCAATAGTTTTTAAAGGCATAATCTACTTCATTGCTCAGGATGGCTTTGGCTAAGGCTTTCAATTCCTTGTTGCAACCTTCCTTCCTTTAAAATAGTTATTTTTTGTTGTTGCTTTTATTTTATGTTTGTATGTATGTATGTATGTATGTAGGCTCCATGCATGGAGCCCAATGCAGGGCTTGAACTCACAACCCGAGATCAAGACCTGAGCTGAGGTCAAGAGTTGGACGCTTAACCCACTGAATGTCCCTGTTGTTTCTTTTAAACTTGATGGGAAAAGGTGACCAATTCATGCCAGTTGAGTTATAGATTCGGAACAGATGGTTTAAGATAAATTACTACACTTTACATATTTACATTTAATTTATTACATTTGTTTCTAAAGTTTTGGAGAAAATTCAGTACCAACTAAAGAGTTAAAAGTGTACAGACCCAGCAGCCAGAGGCCCAAGCACACGGATTGAAACTTCATTTCTGCCAGAGATCACACTTTACTTTGTGATTTTGGGTGATACCACAAACCTCTCTGGACTATGATTTCCTAGTTGGTAAAATCAAAGGACTGGATCAGCTGATCTCTAACAATTTTCAAAAATTGTCTGAATCTGTGGTGTTATATAACAGCAGAAGAGATTCTATGAAAAAATAGAATGTTGCTCTGTCGATGATGATTATGTAGGAATGGTGGTAAGAAATTTGCAGGAAGGTTGCTATTAACATCATAAAGGAAGGAAAAGGGAAGGAGGGAAAAGAAAAAATACGATTTGCCAAACTTCTGCTGTGTGCTAAGAACTTCACAGACATTATCTCATGTGAAAATATCATTTCAGTGATTTCCTTCTTAAGGGACAGAGATGCCATTTTTGCTTCTTGCCCCAAATGTGCATGATAGCTAACATTGATTGAACGCTTTCTATGTGCCAGGCCCACTCCCAAGCACTTTACACATACTTAGACCATTTATTATCCCCATTCACAGATGAGGAAACAGGCACAGAGAGGTTAGGAAACTTACCCAAGGCCATTCAGTTGGTAAGTGGCAGAGCCAAGCTCCAAACTCAGAGAGTTGGGCCCTAGATCTGTGCTTTTAACCCCATCCCCATATTGCCTCCTGTCACTCATTTATTAAGAAAATATTTGTTGAACAGTATTTGAAGGCAGTGCCCTAGGCTTGGTCTATTTACTAGATGTTACGTATTATAGACAATGTAGTCTACATTCTATACATTATGTAGGATATAACGAATACTATACCTTTATTCTATCTAAGGTGTATCAAACAGTACACACTACAGTCTATATACAATGAGTAATATACACAGTATATTATATGGGTGTTATATGTATACTAGCAATGTTTTGCTATAATAGGTATTTAGTAAATATATGTTGAATGAATGAAAACGATACTCATTCAATATCATGTTCTATTCTGGCAGAACTTGATCACTGAGGATTTATTCTTCCAGTTCTTCCCCTTTCCAGCCCTCTCCTTTAAGGGCAGTTTTCTTCTTTTTTTTTTTTAATTTATTCATAAGAGACGGGCGCGGGGGGCGGGGGGGAGCGGAGAGAGAGGCAGAGGGAGAAGCAGGCCCCTGGGGAGCCTGATGCGGGACTTGATCCCAGGGTCTTGGGATCGTGACCTGAGATGAAGGCAGACGCTTAGCCATCTGAGCCACCCAGGCGCTCAGGGCAGTTTTCTTTTACCAGGTGTTCTGGCTTCTCTGGGACAGGCAAATTCATTGGCCCACCCAGGTCTGAGCTCTAGTGTGCAACAAGTTGCTGAGTGTGCAACAGGGAATGAATGAAGGGCTGACAGCTGGGCTGTGCACACAGGAATGTCAAGGCTGCAGGTGGGCTTGGAGGGAAGCCAGCCATGCTCCCAGCTGCATCCAGAGAGGGTGTCCTGGATGCTCAACAGTTCGTGGTCCAGTTTTGCTTTCTTTGAAAACAAAGTTAAAAGTCACAGAACCGGAGAGGTGTTAGTGATAGAGTCTAACCCAACTCCCTCAGAAATCGTGGGCCCCATTCCCTACTCTCCAAACCAGCTAAGACCAGAAAAGTTCTCTGACTGTTCCTTAATTCTTAGTGGCATTACTTTCTGCCCATTTTTTTTTGGCGGGGGCGGAGGGGTAGATTGTCCTCAGCTTCACTGCTTTTGAAACAAGTGGCCAGAACGCTTGGGATCCCTTCCAAAGCGCTTCAGTTCTTCCCAGAATAGATGAATGGAAGGAAGGAAGGAGGGAGAAAAAGGAGGAAGGAAAGAAGGAAGGAAGGGAGGGAGGAAGGAAGGAGAGGAGGAAAGTGGGAAGAAGGATACATGCATGAATGGATGAATAGATGAATGGATGAACTGGGGAGTGTGCGGACGCATGGATGCGCAGGACCCTGGGAGCGTAACCCCAGCCCGCGAAGCCGAACCCCTCTTGGGACCCAGCCTTCCTCTCGTTCTCTGGCCACTGCTCCTGCGTCCCCGACCAGCTCCGGCGTTCTGAGGGAGGGAGCGGGGGACGAGGGGGAGGGGAGGGGAACGAGGGAAGGGAGGGCCTGGGAGGAGGGGAGGAGGGGCGCGGGGAGAGGGCGACGCGTGGGGGGCGGGGGGCGCGGCGGGAGCTGGGCGCCTGGCTGCGGCGCGGGCGGGCGGGGACACGATGTCGCCGCCGCCGCCTGGGCTGTGCCGCTGGGGCTGAGCAGCCGCCGCCGCTGCCACGGAAGCGGGAGCCCGAGCCGCGAGCCGAGGGGCCGCCGGGCGCGACCGCCGCGCGGGAGAATGGGCTGTGGTGGGAGCCGGGCCGATGCCATCGAGCCCCGCTACTACGAGAGCTGGACCCGGGAGACCGAGTCCACCTGGCTCACCTACACCGACTCGGACGCGCCGCCCAGCGCCGCAGCCACCGACAGCGGCCCCGAGGCGGGCGGCCTGCACGCGGGTGAGTGAAGCGGCTCCTGCGGACCCCAGGCGCCGGGAGGCCGGAGCGGAGAGAGAAGCGGGAGGGATGCGGGGCGCCAGGGGCAGCCGGAGATTTCCGTGCGGGTGGTAGAGGGTTGGGGGGGGGCGGTGAGGAAGACAGACAGACCCAGGCCCAGGGAGTGGGGTCAGCGCAAGACCCTTACAGAGGCTCAGCCAATCCCCGGAGCCGCGGGGAACCCAGCTCCCTGCCTCCGCCAGTGCTCGCTCAGTGCAGGGACCCCATGCATCGCTGGGAGGACAGCCCACCTGGCACGCACACCTGCTCCTCAGCCCACGCGCGCCCCGCCCCGCCTGACTTCGCCTCTATCCCGCTTCGTTCCCCACGCCCCACGCCGGCCCCTGTGGACCCGATCCGGCCACGTCTCCATCCACCCGCCGCCTGGACCCTCTCTGCCTTGATTTACAGACACGGCGCCTGACCCAGATTGCCTGGGTGGAGTCCTCCTCTTCGCTTCCCCTTCTCTCCCTGCAGGGAAGGAGTTCCCTCGGGCTGCGAAAACCAGGATCCAGGGCACAATGCACGCCCGCCCACCCCATCACTAGTTCTGCACTTAAGCTTACTTCTCCAGCAGGTGTTCCGGAGTGAGGACTCCCTCTCCACCCTGTGGTGCCTCGGTGCTTCATATGAGGCAGGGCACAGGTGTGGACTAGGGCTGTAAATTACATACTCTTACCATTCCCCCTGTAGCAGAAATTTAACAGAAGAATATGCAAAGAACTTTCTCTGTGGGTCACACATCAGAATTTTTTTTTAAAGGAGACACTAATAATTGTAGAGTAGAGATGAAAATAGTCTGTTGCCACAGACTGACCTTTAGTCATAAATGTGTTGGTGGAAAAGGAAAATACCTCACTAAGTATATGGATGTTGTCAAAAGCTAGATTATTTGCATAAAATATTTTAACTCTTTCCGGACCCCTTTATGTTGTTGGCATTTTTGAATAATGAAATCTGAGATAGAAAATGAGGTTAATTTGAAGCATACTGTATATTATGAGGAGGAAAGAAATGTGAAATACTCTTAAAAGTTCAATAATCCTAAATCCATGCTTCCTACATAAGAGCTGCCGTTTTAATTTTAAGAATCAGTCCCTCCATCTTGTAGGACCAAAGCTGGCTCCTTTTTCATATGAACTTGGTGAGTCCCCTTTTTAAAAAAAGCAAGAACTGTCAGTGAAAATGGTGTAAGACATAATACTGTATTTGTGTCTAATGTTTCTGACTCACCATAGTAATCATAATGGTTACTTTGTGTCGCTGGTGCTTTCAGCAAGTTTCCAAATGATGTGTTGGCTCAATTCAGTGTCAGAAATGAGGATAAGACATAAGCCTTCACAAGGGACCTGGTAAATGTTAGATTTAACAGCATTTCCCCAGGAGGTGTGGTACTTCTCAGCAGAGTCAAAGGCCAGAGCTGCGCTCCAAGGAAAAATGGTTGAAAAGATCTAGTGTGGAAAAAAAAAAAGTACAGCTTCAAGGACTGGTTGCCTTGGTAACTGTGTACCTACGTGTGGGTGTGAGATGGTTATTATGGGATGGCTAAATATTCATTTCCAGTACTTACTCCTTTTTAGTCTGCCATCCTGACTCCTACCCCACTGTGCCTCATCAGATCGGGGCCCTGGGACAAGCATGCTCATTTGTGGTTCCTTGCCAAATATGGGGCAGCCTTGCCAGGCAGGTGGTCCTGAAGATGTCCTTACTGAAGTTTGCCCACTTTGACCCATTTAGCCTAGATTCTTCAAAGTGCCTTTCTCATCGCACAGATGCTCTTTTTTTTTTTTTTTTTGAGAGAGAGCGAAGCGAGAGCTTGAGCAGGGGCTTGGGTGGGATAGGGAGGGGCAGAAGGGGAGGGAGAATCTTAAGCAGGCTCCATGACCAGCACAGAGCCCCGAACTGGGCTCCATCTCAGGACCCTGAGATCAAGACCTGAACTGAAATCTAGAATCCGATGCTTAACCAGTGAGTCACCCAGGCACCCCCTACAGCTGCTGTTTAAAACTGTACCCTATTCCATTGAAATACCCAGCCCAGTTCAAAGATTCCATTTCTTCTGGTGCTCTCCCCCACTACCAACTTCATACTCATGTCTACTGAAAAGTCCCATTTAAGCATGTCTGCTTGTAAATCTTACTTCAGTTTCTTAGTCCAGTCCAGATTGAGGGCATGTCACAGGACAAATAAATATCTGTTGGATGAATTCTGCATTTTACTGCAGGAAGGGCGGCATGTTTTTTTGCCAGTCCTGCAAAGGAAAGAGTTTCTTGCCTCCCCCTTACTCGAAAAGTAGATCCTGAGCCTCTGGTTCCTGTTTTTGGAGATCATCTCCACTAGCCAGCAGAATTCAATTAAGTTTTTAGATTTGGCTATTATGTAGGCTGGAATTAAAGATTTAGCTGAAACCACGGTATCTGATAGCCCGTTGCTTCCCTGTGTCACAGCAGCGTGTCTCGCTGTCACAGGAGGAAATTAAATTGGTCTGACATGATTTAGTCTTCATAAAATCAGTTTGCTGGATTGATTTTTACTTCCGTTGTCTAATGGGGGTCTCTCAAGGAGAAAGGGAGTCTCTGAGGTTACCATGCCCAACCAGCTCAGCCATCCCATGCATGAGTAACACCCTAGCTTTACCTCAATTTGATCACAGGTCCCTTAAATTAAACCCTTAAATATCCCTTCTTGTACTGTTAGGTATTTTTCCTAATTTCTCTAGGGAATAAAACATTTCAAATTTCTCTAAAGTCCTTCTACTTTACAGTTTTAGATTGCTATAATAATTGCTTTAGGAAATGCAGGATGGAGGATTACAAAGTTAGAGACTCACAGGAAAACAGTTCACCTAAGTAAATTGAAATATGTAAAATAAAATGAAGAACACTTAATATTACCATCAGTTAATGTTTATTGATGACTTACTGAGGGCTGGGGACTGTACAAAGCAGCACTTAACGTAAATCATCTCACAAGTCCTCAGGGCCAGGATGAGGTAGAAGCTGTGACCGTCCTTCTCTTACTAGTAAGGGAATGAGGCGTAGAGTGGGGGAGTGACTTCCCAGTCCAGTACTGGGATCCAGCTCTGCCTGAATCCAAAGCCCATACTCCTAAATATTGCCTTCCTGATTGATGGGAGAGTAACTATAGAATTCTTGCTTTTACAGTTGATAGGACTCAAAGTCTACTGTGATCTCTTGATATTCTAGTCTGGTCTCAGATAGCATAGTTTTCTTCTGCAGCATCCCTGAGGATGAGGTGTGTCTTCCCTAGGGAAGGAGGCCCCCCCATACCTTAGTGGAGCAGTTCCCCTTGTGAGGAACTCTTTTGGCTGCCTTGTAATTTCTACCTGGTGAACTCCGTGCCCTTGCAATCAAGTCTTGTACAGACAACTCTCAATATTTGAAGAGAGCTATTGCATCTCCTCTGACCATTGGTTCTCCAGGTCAAACACGTGCAGATCTTTCAGTCATCTCTCAGGCTTGTGGGGACCTGACCATATTATTTCCAAATATGCCGTTTGGTTTGTCAAAGTCCCTCTTGATACAAGAGACCTGTGGTTATCTCCAAGCTCTTGGGTATTAGCTGAGCAGCACAGAGCAACATGTGGGCGCTGAACCTCTCCTAGGGCAGGTAAAATCAGGTTAGGATTTGTCTGTTTTCCTGCTGTTGTTGCTGGGGCTATATTGCCTTGATGACTCACATTAAACTTGTGATGAGTTAAAACCCTCAGATCCTTCTTTTTAGTCAAATTTAAGTCCTATGACATAAGAGATGTTGTCTGTGCTATAAATCCAGCACCTGGAACAGTGACTGGAGCATAGGTGGCACTCAGTAAATGTTTGCCAAATGAATGGCTTTTCCCCCTCATGAATCCTGCAGTCATATTATTGATTTCAGTCACCCAAAGTTGAGATTTTGTATTTACTCCTATTAAAATGTATCTTGTTGGTTTCAGTTTAATACTTAAATGTGCTGACCTTGATTCATCTTGATAGTGCCATTAAGACAATATTCTAGGTCTTTGTTTCCTTCCTTGAGAGGGAGTACCAGTAGAGAGCCCACCTGGGGCTTTCTAATGAATAAGGCTCCTCCCTCCCCCTCCCCCCCAGCTCCCTCTATCTACCTGTTACAGTTGTGGTTATATTTTCAGATAATTTATCCATGAATGCCTGCCCCCTCAAGCATGACAAGCTGTATTAGTTAGGTAAGGGGTCTTTTTTGCTCACCACCAGATCCCTGTGCCTAACACTGTGCCTGTAGTAGGACCTCAAGTGATCTTTCTTTAATGACTAAATCTCCTAACACTTCTCTGTGTCCATTTCATTCTCCTGGATTCCCCAGAGATAATGTTTTCCTTCCTCGGAAGTTCCATCTGCTCATCCTTTGGGGGTTCTTGTTTGCCTGATTGGTTGCAAAGTAAGAAAACACCTCCACTTTTCTCTGCTCCCTTTGCCAAACACAAGTCTCTGTTACCAGGGTTGTTTTGCAAAAATCACTACAAAAACAGGTGGGAGCAAACCCAGGCAATTCATAAACTTTGGGAAGTCTCCTGTGCTCATGGCCCAGGCCCCATGTGCGCAGAGTGGCATACAGCCTGCCACAGGCTCTCCAGGGACTGTGTGCAGTCCCGTGGGGGCACCGGTCACACTGCGTTGTTCTCTCTCTCCAGGTAGCCTGGGAGCTCTGCCGGCTTGGGTGCTGTGTGAGTGACCATTGCACGCCTGCCTGTAGAAATAAATGAATGGTTGGAGAAATGATCCCGCTAAGCAAGTGAAGTTTTATTTTACATCCTCTTTCCTGAGTCTTATCTTAGATGATTTTGTCTTAGAAATCAGTCCACTGAACTGTGTCTTTTTTAGACACTAGATAAACTGTTCTGACTCTAACTAGAGATGAATTTAAGGTTCCAGACTTGGGCCCCACTCAGAGGAACATCATCCCCTCTCAGTTGGCACAGAGTCTTT